CCGCCCCCGCCCGGGGGCTTGTGCCGAGGGGTTGGGGGGGGGGGGGGGGGGGGACTGAAGCTACCCCAGGGCTGAGCGACGGCGAATAGCCCCCTACTGTGCCCCGGTGTCCCCGCCCCCGCAGCAGCCTGCGAGTGACGCGCGCAGAGCTCATTCACACGGAGCAGGCACGGCGCCGCCTACCCGCGCTCATCCAATTGGCGTCTCGCCCTGAGGAGCCGAGGGGAGGGAAAAGCCGTCCCCGGCGCTGATTGGCGGATTTCTTCGCACCTCCCTTCCCTTCGGAATCGCCCAGCAGCTGTTGCTGGAACTTCAGGATCTGTGACGTTCTGTCCCGTCCGGCTCCCTCTGGTCCAGGGCTGCTCGCCTCGCCCAGGAACGTGCCAGCCACCGCTGCCGCCGTGCTCCCAGTCAGCCCGTGCCCACGCCCCTTTAGCTGTCCGACTGATCCGTCTGAGGTCCCGGCAGCAAAGCGGAACTGCGTAGCACGAGCCCCTTGAAAGCCCTAGTTTAGCCACACTGGGCAGCGCACAGGTGAAGCTGTTGTGTGGACTTCGGTAGCACGTACGGACGATAATTCTAGAGATAAACGAGTGAGTTTCCTTTTTATGGTCTTGTTTATACAGCAGCTACCCACTGCAAACTCGGGGCGCATCTCGATCTATTTTAAAGCATCACAAATATTTGAAGTAGCTTACCAGACATTTACATCGAAGAAATGATTCGCCTCAAAAGCAAACGAAGAGAGTTTTTAAATAGCATATACCTACTTGGTTGCACTCATGTGCCTTCTATGCTGCGTGATCTGCGTTTTATTCTGCTCTGTTTGTATAATGTTTGTATCTATATTGTGAAATCGTCCTCAGGAGGAAACTGGATATACCTGAATTATGTCGATATTTGGCTCCGAGCCTCCTACTTGAGGTGGGGAGGGGGGAGGGGGAGAGAGAGGGAGTAGAGAGGGAAGCGGAGGACGGCAATTCATGCACCACCGAGCACGAGCGCTGCAAAAATCCGGATTCAGCAGCAGGAGCCTGATGGATCCAATCAATTTTTGGCGCTGAATCCCCAAGTTCTGTTGCCTCCATAAAAAACAAGTCTTTCAGCTCTTAATGCAGAAAAAAAAAACCTGGATCCAAACGTCGCGCGTAAGTGTGGCTCAAAGAACCCCACCCATTTATACATCCCCGCTCAATAGTACTGCAAAAACAGCACCTGCTGGGTTAGAAATTTCGATTTTGATGTCTTTAAGCCCGGAAGTTTGTACTATCAGAATAGACGACACAGATTTTTTTATCATTCTTGACCAGAAAATGCATGCTCAGATTCATCCTGGCTCAAGCACCATGCAAAGCAGTACCCGAGTCTGATCAGACCAAGCAAACCTATACTGTACTGCATAAATAGAGACCAAGACTTAGTCCACTATAAAAAGCTGATACACCTTGGCATACGGAACACCCACATCTCCATTCATTCTTTTTAGATAGATAGCAAAGGGAGTCATCCTTTTACCTGAGCTAAAATCTGTCCAATCTAGTTAAGGTATCCAGTGCATCGAATGTCAAAGTAGTCTAGGAGATTTATATTCGCATTACAATGTTTTATTAGAAGAGATGTGTCTTGAGTTTCCTAAACTGCTTTGAAAATCACGGGTAGGTTGATCAGCTAAACCCACAAATAATGAGATCATACCGTCTGCTCGTCCAGTCCATAGCTAAATGTCACTGATATAGCAAGAAATTTGGCTGTATTTAGACTTACCAAAATTTGTGATCACCAAAACTCAGTGGATTCAGTAAAAACGTGTATGATGTAAAATGTTTAAATTTGAGGTATCTAGGAAAGAGGCTGCTGGATCCATTTACACATTTGCGTAGTCCACGGTCCCCCAATTGTTGGTGCAGTACAAGTAGCTACAGTCATTTTCCGTTCATTCTATGAAATTGGCAAGGAAGGGCCAAAAACTGTTTGGAACCTATGGGGTCCTCCTGCCTGTTTTGGAATTTGGGGAGCTCCCCTACAGGGATACCCCAGGGTCTAGATTTTTGGGGGGTTTTTTGGGGTGCAATAGGAGCAGCTCCACATGTTATATATTTAGATATTTGAATTTGGGGATTAGGAGGCAAATTTTGACTGGATCCAGCTGCCATATGCGGGTATTTCCCGGCATTTTTGCCGTGGGATGCCTAAGGGTCCGACTTTTGCATTGGTGCAGGACCAGTGGCTGAACAGCCGGATTTTTTCTACTCGTTTTGGGGGGCTCAGGTGGGATCTGGATAGCTGCAGTTTTTCTCTCTCTCCCCCCCCCCCCGCTCCCCCCCCCCCCCGGGGGCGCGG